TATTCAAGAATGTAGTTAGTCTGGCCCCCGTAGCATGTGGGTCTCACATGAAAATGTGGCAGCATACCCTTTGGGGGAAACTCTATCCCCTACTCCACTGCTCAAAACAAAACCACTGACTCAATGAGACCTTCAATTTATCAAGGTTCTACTACATGTTGGGCCTGGTTCACTGATGATTTGGTTGAGCTGAAGCCCAATGGTATCCACTGGCTGCTACAGATATTCAACCATCTATGAATAACTGAAAACCGACAAGATTGCTCAGCTCAGTGGACAGAACTCAAAGGCATTATCAAGACCTACACATTACCTCCCTTGATAAACTTCATTATATTTTTACTGACTCAAGCTATTGCCAATGGCTAGCTGTTTTGTCTGCCACTTAGAAAACTAAAGACTGGCATTTCAAGGTTACCCTTTTTGGACACCACTAAAATAGATCTTAGTTTTGGATTAAAATATGTGTCACTCATGTAGACGCCCAAGTAAGGATCCTTCCTATGAAAAGATGAAATTGAATCAAGCTCCTGATAGAGACTACACAAGACAGACTGTCACAAATGAGTACATGGATCCATCATCTCACCCAACATGGCAAAGCATCTGCCATCACAGGCTGGACACAAGGCAAATGATTCTATTTTTCTGATGCAGAGGTTACCACAGATGCCAGACTTGGGACTCATGCAAAAAGTTGACCAGTTCTTCCCTAGTAAATTGATTACAACATACCTTTGACCACCTCTTTGGGCTATTGGTGGTGCCTCACCACTATTTACACCTGTTCAGGGTATGGTGTTGCTATTCTAGTCTGATCAGCTAACTCTACCCATACATTGTGAACCTTGAAACAAATCAGTATAAAGTTAGTAGCTTTAAAGACCATTTGCAGTCTGACAATAGAGCACTTTTTATCACAAAAGCTACCCATAAATTAGTTGAGAGTAGAGGTATTCAGTGGACCTTCCACATTTCCTACTGTCCAAAAGCATATGGTATTATTGAGCGTTGTAAGACCTTCTCAGAAAGTGACTCAAAAAGATTTCTGACTATCTCCCTTACCGCCTCCTGATCCACACATTTTAATACGGCAGTTTGGTCATCAAATATGGCTGCCCATGGAAAGGGATCATCTTCTTTTGGCCACTTCATGGAAAATGATCAGGAAGAACACATATACACATACATACACACAGACACATATCTACACCTGCTACATAAGGTTATTTACACTTATCTGAACATCCTGGATTCTGCCTCACCAATCTAGGGCATGATGTGTTATTTACTCCAACAGTAACCCTGAGGCTTCCTGGGTACAACTTCTAGTGATAGCCCACACAGAAGGGGGTCTAGGAGATTCAAATATAATTCTGGTTTAACCACCTGTATTGTTGTTTTGTTGGCTGTCATGATTATAGATGAAAGGGATAATGACCACTTGTTGAGTACACTGCCCCCCAAGTCCCCCTACCATGGCCCACATGGACAAAGGAGGGGTGCACACTGAGTCTCTATATGTTTTTATAAAATGCCTTTGTCCCTCTTGCACATGAATGTTCTGGATAGATATGGGTAGAAATAAGGTGAAATTATAGTTACTGAAATGAGACAAGCTGGTTTTTTAGCACTGGACAGACAATAACACAGTCTGATAATGGAGGAGACAGCTTAGATCCTGAGAAGTATGAAGAATTAAGGGACATTAATACGAATTTCAGGGTCACCCTGTCACCTTTCTATGAAGAAAAATGCTCTGATGTGGCTCTCTCAAATCATGGCAAGGGCCTTTAATTTAACTCACTGCTGGGTCTGCCATACCCACCACATGCTCTCATCACAGTTCATTTGCCATTCCCCTTAAACTAACTGAGAAATGTATCCAAAACAGCAGGAAATAGCCTCAGCCCCTGCCCCAGAGTAACACCAACATCTCATTCCCATAGCCATTATTTAGTCATTTCATTAGGTGAACAAAAGTCACTAGTTTGCAGTGTGGACAAACAGGAAAAGTTGAACTGACTTCCCTCAAGCAGTCTCCCTGAAGACAACAAGGAGACATCATTATATGATGTGAATTGGAAACCCTAAGGCTTACTAGCCAGCAGAGAAGCCACCTACAGGCACAGTCAACCTGTGCTGCCTGAACAATGTAGGTCCCACTTAATGTACCCAACAACTGTGAATAACACTTTCTTTCCAGAGGCACCATGTCTACCTCCAGGACTGTACTTCTTGTGTAGAAGTCAGACACTAACATGCTTCCTCACTAAAAACATGGTAACTTGCACCTTAGGAGTAGTCATAAGAGATATTCAACTGTTTAGGGAAATACTCCTACTGTTAGGGATGTTAGAAAATGTGATATAAAATTTGCCTCTGATCTTAGCTTGAAGTAATCAATTACACCACCTCAGCTATCAAAGGCATTCAGGTCAACATCAACTCACTGTCCATACATTGTTATTCACAATATAATTACCCTATACTTTCTCCTTGAGAACCAAGACAAAGTCTCTGTGCAATCACTAATATATCCTGTAGTACCTGGATTAATGTATCTGGATTGTCTTGTTGGATTGCCATGATCCTAGATCAAAAGGATAGTAACCACTTGATTGAATTTACTGCTCACCAAGAGTGTGACAAAAATTGGAGACACAGTACTCCCACTCTATTTCCAGGGGATACGTTCCAACTCCCCCCACCTCCAGTGGATGCCTGAAACCAAGTATAGTATCAAACCCTATAATACTGGGTTTTTAAATCCAATCTAATAATCAAGATTACTACTAAGTAACTAACAAGCAGGTAGTGTATACGGCAAAGAAACGCTAGACAAAGGGATGATTTACTTCCAGGGTGGGATGAAGCAGTACAGTAGGAGATTTCATCATACTACTCAGAACAGCACACAATTTAAAACTTATTGTTTACTTCTGGAATTTTCCATGTAATGTTTTCAGACCACAGTTGACTGTGGGTAACTAAAAACACAAAAATAAGGCCATGAAAAGTGAAACTGCAAATAAGGGAGGACTTCTGTATATTGAGTCTCTGTTAAGATTTTGAAATTTTCCTTGTCCCTTTTTTGTCTGAATCTTAAGGAGGAAATATCTGAGTGCCAGTGGAAAGGTCAACACAAGAAAGCTACCTAGCTTTCTAAGGTCAACCCTAATGGCTCATAGCATTTGTTCGGCTAGTTGAGTCTGGGACCCTGAGGGTAGGGTTGAGGTTAACAATACAGATTGGCCTCATCTTGGTAAGGACCTCTGCTTGGTGTCCTATTGGTAGTAGCTTTATTTAACTGCTGTATAAAGCAAATTGATCAAATTTAATCCCAGCCTCAGTCAGTCATATTAATCAGAATGGTGCATGGAGTGGGAAACTAAAGGGAAAATTCATCAGAAACCAACATGGTATAAAAACGAGGTTTGGATGTTGTTGGAGACAATTCTCCATGGTACTCTTTCATTTCTGTACATCTTAAAAGTGAGAAACTGATTACCCTTTTTTCTAGACTATCTTTTCAAGAATCTTTGTATAGAAAATTGCCTTGGAATATAAAGATATATTGTCTTATTCCTGAGCAAAGGGTAGGCTTGCTTACAGTCTTGGAAATAGTGTCTCCCTTCGGAGCAATGGACAGGTATGCTACCTGTCCAAAACAATGAAGACAATAGCCCCCTCTGAGGCAAAGGATGGATATGTTTACATTTAGGTTCCTAAGGCCTAGAGTCCCTTTCCTGTAACGCAACCAAGTGATTTCATTTCCTCTGCAATTAGCACTGTGGGAACACAGACTTGTGGGCTACCTGTAGCTTTGGGAGCTGGTATAAAGGTTATTACTCTGCTAGCACTATTCTGTGAATATAAAACTGTCCTTCATCTCTGACAGGAGTCTCATGTCTTCTAAACTGTCCATGAAACTGTAGCAGACTTACTTGTTAGCTTGCAAGTAGGGTAAAGATATCCATTCTTAATAATCACTATATTCTTGTTACTTTATGGCAATAGTGCCCTCCTTACATCTTCATATTAATAAAAGGAAAAATTAACCATTAGTAGAAGGGAAAGATGGTTTTTTCATTTTACTCTTAAATAATTCTCTATATTTATGTGCCTAAATTAGGAGAGTACACGGAAATGGTTACTATATACTCTTTATAAATGTAAATTTTGTCTCTTGTCTATCCTGTTGTAAATAATTTGAAAGTCATCTTCTTTCTTCTATTTCATTCTTTTTTAATCTTAAGTAAGCTGATAATTTCTCATCTTTTAAGTCAATGGTGAAAAACGTCAAATAAAATGTCTTTTCAAACAATTTATGGTTTCATGTTATGTTTGGATATGGTAGTTGTTCCAAAATCCAAAGCGAACAATATGTTACCTCATATACCTCAATAATTTATATAACTTTTATTTTCTTTATGTAAAACAATCTTGCCATAAAAAGGAACAGTATGAATGAATGTAATATCTTTTATTAGCCCCCACTTTTAAATTATAAAATAGTATCTTTGTGAATATTCCAATATCACAAAAATGTATTGCTTTCAAAGACTAAACACTCTCATTAGTTTACCACTCCCAAAAGGCAGCTACTGTTAACAGTTTTCTCCGCAAATACAAACATAAATGTATATTTAATATAAATACTATAGTCCATTTGTTTTCACTCTATCTTGGACCTACTGATTTATCAGTACACATAGATATCTCAGTCTTTAACAGCTGCGGAGTTGCATAGTATTCTATCACTTTGACATATGAAAATATCTAACTCCTTATTGATGATGTTTGACAACCAACAAAAACAATGCTGCAGTGAATATTATTGTATTTATATCACGTGCTTCTAAGAGTATTTCTGTTGAATAAATATCCACTGAGATACAAACATGCAAAATAACAGCTTGTATGAATGCTATTATTAGGTTAATATGCCCCCTACTTTATAAATGCCCAGTAACACCAGGTTAAAATTCTACTCTCACCTTGGTTGCCAAAGATTTGAGTTTTCTTAGTAGTGACTGTTTATTGGAATATACAACTTCTTCTTCATTATCTTCTCCTTCCATGATAGCACAACTGTCTGCAGCTGGGAGTTCACACTCTTTTGAGTTAGTCGTCATTACTAACTTGGAATATTTGTATTCCAGTCTAAATAGTGATAAAATAAACAAATAAATATCCATTTATGTTAATATAAATACATACTTATTTTAGGTGGTCATATACTAGCTTAGTAAATTGGCTTGGAGTATAATTGCTCCACCAACAAACTTCCCTAGCCTACAGCCATAGCAATATGTGTGTTATCATGTATCTACCATTTATAAAGAAATATTTCCCAGGATTTCAGAAATCAGTTCAATAGAGTTAATTCTACCACTTTACATTGAATTGTTCAATAATGAAAAAATTTGGGGGCGGGGACTTTGAGGCCTGCATGCATTTTCTTAACATGAATATTTGGAAGCCAATTCACTGTAAGGTTTTCCCAGTATTTCGTTTGTAAAGATGAGAATATCAAACAGGCAAGTAATTTGGTCTTTATCATCTCTCTATATTATTTATTCCTTTATGCTATCACCCCAGATATTGCAATTGTCCCTAGATATTACAATATAGGAGTTCCACAGTGCCCCTGAGGTGTAAATCATTCTAAAAGATTCAAGTCCTATAACAGATCAATCTACATTCAGGAATTAGGCTCCATATTCAATTCCAGATCCTTGAAGACCTGGAGCAAATAAACATGATATTTGCCTATACGCTTAATCTGTTTTTTTCTTTTTTTCTTTTCTTTTTTCTTTTTTTTTTTGCAAATGTCTTCCCACAAGAAATTTTAAAAAGAAAAGGTGAAGTAAGAAGACAGCATCATGTCATTTGTTAAACAGGCAGACACTGAGAGAATATCTGCCTTCCAAATCTCAGCTCTGCCATAATCTACCTGAGTAACATGGAGCCTCTTGTTTTCCTTGTTTTCTAATAAATGACTCTAACTCAATGATCTCTAATGTTCTATGATCTTTCTA